TATAAGAGCATCTTTAATGAACACTGACGAACTAATGCCGAATAAAAGATGCTCTTTTATATAGAAAGAAGACACAACATGAATTATCTTATCGAAGATAGTTACAAAATGGAATAGCGATCTAAAAATATTTTTCTACAAAAGTGACATTCAGAATTCAAACCAGAATACGAGAACACAGACAGAATGAGTCCTTCATCGATTCTGAATGGAAGCTACTATCAGAGAACAAGCATTAAAGCTCCCTCTAAAGATAAAAGATGCTAGGCAACATCACATTAAGCACTTTTTCCTCCAACTTATCTCTATTACACATGTTTTATATTCACATTAATGCATTTTGGAGTATTTTTACAGTCAATATCTGCTCTCCTGAATATTATTATCTTTTATTAATTTTGGAAATATTTTATTTTTAAGATTATTTAGACATTTGCCATAAATTTGGATTAATTATGGGTGTTGTTATTAATCTTATTCATCTAAAAAAATCATTATGCGGTTTCCCTGGAAACTGCTATTTAGTTTAATTCTTTTCTTAGAATTATATCTCGAGGGATATTTTATAAACATAATTTGCATCGTTTATGAATATATTTTATGATATTCTTGCCCAAAATGACTCATTAAAGTTGCGTAGTAAGTAACCTCTAAGCTTTAATGCATAAGGGGTCGAAGCCCTTCCAATAATAATTTGAAATTCGTGAAGCTCTTATCTGTATCCTAGTAACTCATACTATATAATACAATTTAAAGCCTCACGGTTTTAGAACCTCACATAAGCTTATATTGGCTCTAATAGATGCTGTATGAGGCCTTGAATAAGCCTCATATACCTTTAGACTTATACGAGACTTTCAATAAGCCTCATATAAGTCTAAAGCTGTGTTTAACTTGTTCCTGATTATGCTTATAAAAAATCGTCATATTTTGATTTTTATTAATTATATGATGCTAATTTTAAATATTAACTAAAATTCCAGGATAATATCATGTTTGGAAGCTCGGATACAATAAAAAAATGGAAAAATGACATTTAAAATCGACGTCACACTACGAATTTCCATCGTATCCGGCTTGTTTATCTGATATTTAAAACGAATTTTTTAGGAGATTTTATAGGACGAGAACATTCCGACAGAAACTGGAATTTAAATAACGACAAGATAATTAAATCTAGAATAAAACGATGCGTTGATTAAACAATTTTATCGTGTTAAGATGCATTAAATAAACACTTAAAAAAACATTAAACACTAAAGCAGTTTCTACAGAAACTGCATGACGACTAGGCCAACAGTTGATTCAGTAAAAGAATGTAACCGGCCCAGTCGATCACGTGAACACCTCATCACCTAGCAACCGAATAAGGTGGTACGTTCACCTGTCAGATGTAACAATATCTTCGACAATATCCCAGTGCAATTTCGTTCCAGGAACATATTTTAAACATGGACTTGTCGCGCAGGTAAGATACTTTTACAGGGGCTATCCGTTTCTCTTAAGCTCAGACGATTTCTTTCGATTTTAAACGATTATTTTAATTAATTTCATTCGGATTAAAGTCAAAATTATTGTTACAAATTAAATTTCGTTACCGGTTTAAATTTTTAATTAATTCTAGCTTTAAAAGAACCGACAAAAGAATGATAAATTGATCTGGAATTGGGAGATGACTCGAGATTTTATATATACATTTTCTTTTCCGTTTTTTTTTTAAGAACGAAGAAAACATCTTTAATCGGATTAACCTTATTAAATAAATGTCAATAGAATAATGTAAACAAGTTTCCTATTTCCTCATTTATTATATATTTTTCTTATTTAAAAATAAAGAGAAATTAACTAACTTTTAATAAATTATATCTAAAATCGATTGGAAATTTTTCTAGCGAATAAATTAACTGATGTAATTTATATTTTAAATATTTATGCAAATGTTCTTAACGTTTTTTTTAAATATTATTTCTATTGTAGAAGCGTAGTTTAACACGCAATTTCTCTTAAACAGCATAAAAATATACAAATAAAATAAGAGAAAATAATATTTAAAAAAATGCTATTTTTAATGTTTATAAATTAGAAAATAATGCAACATCTTCGAATTTCATTTCTCTATATTTTATAATGCAAATACTTTAAATTTACTTTTTATTTTTAAAAAAAAAATACAGCAATTTTCTATATAAATTTTCCTCTAATTCTATATTAAAGTTTAAACTTTTAAGTCAGGAGAAAGACGTGATAACGTAATAAAAAAATATATATATATTAAGATAAACAAAAGGGTATTAAAATTAAATTTAGAAGAGTTTTTTAATCTAGGAATTTCATTTGTCAGTTTAAAAATTGCAATAGTAGAACCATAATATCAGTTTAATTCCTTTGATGGAGAGGAAGAGGAAAAAGAGAAAAACTCCAGCATCCTCCCACGCTTTTGATGAAACGGGTTAACGACCTGAGAACAGAATTTCGTCTATCAATTTTAAATATATTTTTCTATATTAAAAACCGATGTTTTTTGATTATTTAAGGTATTCAGAAGAGAAGAATTGTTTGCCATAATTAATTAGCGTGATAATTAAGTTATTAGCATAAATATTTGAAGCGTTTTTAACATGTAGAAACGAACTTGTATGTGCACTAGGAGTTAATTATGTATACTTGTTCAATTTTTTTTTTCGATTTTCAGAAGGAAATTTTCACTTCAAAGAATTAAATTTATTCTTAATTTTGTAATAGTGAAGTTTAAATTGCAACTTATATTAAATTATTATAAAAGTTTACAAGTACTTGAGCTATATTTCAGTTTATTGTTTGGAGAAAAGCGAGAAGAATTCTCGCGTGTGTAATAAGCAATAACCATAACAATTTTTTTTTAATTTATGGAGAAAAATTCTATTTAATAACAATGTTATCTGACTAGAAAACAGCTGGAAATGTTTCTAAATAAAATCGATTTTTATCTATTCGACTGCTTGGAAAAGTGAGTAATAATCGAAAGAAACTTTCGAAATTTTCTCTTTCTCGCTTTTCTAAAGAGTTCTGTAATTTAAAAGGAAGATAAACGAGATAATAAACGTCAATTATCCATCATTCTGTACGAGATACAAATTAGTTTTGTCGAGAAAATTAAGAGTATTTTCTAAGAGGAAAAAGAAAAATACATTTTTTTTTTTTCCTTCGGTAGCATGTCACGTTTGCATCTCATTAGCCTGATTGCTTAAATTTGAAGGGATGACACGCTCTTCTCGCTCCTCCTTTCTCTGGTCGCTCTTCCAGACCATATGCACTTAATTAAATAGAGGAGTTTGAGCGCATGCGTTACGGATGTTGCTTCTGGGAGATTGATGCGAGAGATCAGATTCTTCTTCAGATGTATTAGAGTATAGAAGCGACAATCTCTTTTGCAAGTTAATTTAATCAAATCGTGTTCTTTAATACTTTTTACGTCCTTCTAACTGAAACATAAAAAAAAATTATTGCTCTCCTTTTCACTTTTTTCTCTTCTTTCCGCTCTCCAACTCTAACTTTTAAATCAACTGTTCGATAAGTAAACTAAGGTAAGTCTATACGTTATTAAATTCTTTCCAAAAATTACTTTTTAATGGCTTAAAATTTTAAAAAAAAATAATATAATTTTACTTTAAATTATCATTTTTTTAAATCGATTCCTCGACGAATTTAGTTCGCTTATAAATATTTAATTACCTATATTAAAAATTTAAAAGATAAATTCGTGCAAGCTTACCTTGTTTAGCTCTTTGAAAATGTTTAAATTAGTTAAAAATAAATCAAATTATTAATATAAAATTCTTATTTATTACTAGGATACGTCAAGATTTAGTAAAATCATTCAAAATAAAATAACTTTACTTAATTAATAAGCCGAGAATTTATAGAAACGTATGCAAAATTTAAGTAAATTTCTTAAACATTAAATGCTAAATTTATCTTATTTAAAAAATAATATTTATCTTTATTTCTTTCTTGGGTTTTCTCTTTATTCTAAATTATAGTTTCTTTTTATTTATCATTTTTTAAAAGATTCAGTGATAAAACATCATTTTTGGAAGTAAAATAATAATTAAAAGTTCAGCGAACTTCAACTAAAAAATGAATTTGATAAAATAATATATTTTTTGTGGCAAAAATTTTAATGTTTTAAATTATAAAACTGAATTCTGAAAATGCGAAAAAATAAAACTTATTCTTTAAATTACTAAACAATCGAAAAATTTACCTAAGAATTAATATGCTTTGAAATAACATTTTACATGGTAGATTATATTTATTTAAAATCATGATGATCATCATCATCATTGTGTGGCATCATAGATCTTCAAATCCGCCATTACTGAATATTGGTAGTTGGTCGCGGTTTCGCTGCCAATCGCGCGAGTTTTTCGGGTATTTTCATGTGTATAACGCCTAAATGGGGCCAGTTTCCCATTAAAAGTAAGCTACTTCTGAGAGGAACTCCCTTGGCAGATCACTCAAATGTTGCTTGCTTTATTTTATAAATCCAGTCCAAATCCTCCACTACAACTCTCTTACAGGTTTGTCCTCCATTCTCAATTGCTCCTAATCTTGTTCCATATACTCAATTCATTTTCTCGTGTATTTCCTCTTCCTCTTTTATCCCTTCTCTGGACAATTCTCCTTTATTCCTCCATGATGATAAATATTCTTAACTTAAATTTTACCAAAGACCTAACGAAATTAAGAACCTCGAGTCAAGTATATAACACAGTCGAACCTCTGAACAGCGGTTTCTGACGAGAAAATAAAAAAGTGGCCGTTATTGAAGGTTCGACTGTATTAATTTGTGAATTTTTTTCTTATTCCTTCTTACAGAAAAATGAATTTACTATAAACAACTTTCTAGAATACAGTAGTAATTAAATTACAATATAGGTGAAACTAAGACTTTTCAGCTACCCTGTATGAGTTTTTTGTTTATATATATATATATATTTAATTATCAAATGTATTTTCAGAGGTCAAGATGTGGATGATAATGCAAAAGCAGAGAGAACTGAATGAGAAGAACAAGAGCGACGAGAGGCCAGAACCGGAAATGGGAAGGAAAGTAGTCCAAAGAGATCTAACAGACAAGAGAAGAAGATCGGCAACGAGAGGTACCTTAGTGTGCATCGTTATGTGTGGATCTCTTCTATTGGCTCTAGGCGTGGCTCTACTCTGCACCGGCCTTCTAGAACCTAAATTCAAGGATAACCCCATGCCATGGTTGGTCACAGGACCCACTTGCATCGTACTGGGTATATTGGTACTGTTATTATCTGTAGAAATAATCATCAAGCTGCGTAAAATCTCGAGCTCCGATGTGGACGAAGAGGGCCTAAAAGACGGGGGTTGGAGCAATTGCAACATGGATAAATCCATGCCACCCGTACAGAGCGTTGGAAATCCTCCAGTTTCGGTAGTGGTTCAACCCCCCACTCCCATGGTGTTAGATCCCACTAAATTAGACTCGTAATGCCTCGTTTATCTCGTGTTTTAAACATTCCATAAAAGTTCTTCGCGTTTTTATCGACTCAATCTTCCTGTGGTAAAGTCGGATCCACGAATATTAACACAGTATACAGTACATATATAAACATAGACCTATATCTATGTATAGATATAGATTTGGGGGAGGTTTCGGAGGAAAATCGAAGCAATCGTGCCAACGTAACGAAGGAAGATGAATTTTATCATTTGAAACAAATATTTTTCGTTCTGATTGCAGGTGATGAATATATTTTCATACTAAAGTACGTCTCTGATTATTTTTTCCCTTCTCCTCCTCCTCTTCTTTTTCCCATAAAAAATTATATTTACTAATACACATAATTGTATTTTGTACGCTATTAATTTCTCAGAAAACTTGTACATTTGACTTATTTTAATTATTATTAAAGTTGAATTTTTGAATAAGTTTCTTACAGTTTATCTCTTAAGATCAATGATTAGAGCCTTAAAAATTTACCAGAAATTTCCCTACGAATTTTTAAACGAATTCCATAAAGTTACTTTTAAGGGTTTTTTTAACTAAAGGATGCTAAGAGAACCTTTTTATATGTCCATTATGAGTTTACCAGAAATTTCCATACAGTTTATTCGGATATGTTACGTCCACTAGGCCTGAGTCCTTGAGTTTTAAGCCCACCAGAAGAAAAATTGTCCCTCTGGAGGTCCTCATTACAATGAGGTGGCCGGAAAGTGAGAGACGAAGTCCGATGGGCCACACTCAAAAATGCCTGGAGTTTTTTGACTAGATTCGATCTCGGGTCCTCCGGAGTAGTAGTTGCCTACTACTAATAATTACGATAGCCGCATGAGGCACCAACCTGGGGTTAAGGGTCACGATTAAAATAAGCAGAAATTTATTATATAAAAATTACGTTGATAAATATCAGGGACATGTAAAGTTCACTGTGCGAGAAGAAATCGGAGTCTTCTTACTCTAGTGTCTTTAAAGGAGGCCCCACACGCGCTTAGTGCCTCAGGTTCCGAAAAGCATTAATCTTGACTTAAAAAGCTTTCGAGTAGAACCTTTTAATCATTAATTGAAAATTTGTCTTCATTCAGGAAAGTCATCTTGATTTCAAATAATATTTACTTTTCTTCAAGTCTTGAAAAGTAGTGATGTAATTAAATTTTGACAGGGCAAAGATTAAAAATACCCATTAATCTTTAAGAATTGGATTACGTACGAAACTCGTGAAGAGTTCCCCCGATAAAACATTATCGTTTCTTATATAAGAGTACAATGGCTTCGCCATTTTTAGCCCACTTACCTCGAGGCCAATACTCGTTACATGGAAAATAAATACTTTGATAGAAGATGGCTTAGTTGTTTCGGCAATGGGATATAGAAAACAATTTCCGGTCTGGTTACCATAGTAACTGCATCTTTCAGACTAAAAGTTTTACTCTACGTCAAAAGAATCGATCGCTGTTAGAATAAATTATAATTTAGCACCATAGAAATTTACGATTTTGCAATGATGATAAGGAATAATTTAATACGTATAGAATACAGTACATATCATATTTTCGTGTGTATAAACCATCTGTGGATTAGACAAACAATTTGACTAAAGGATAATTAATAAAATTAAACTTCCCATTATTTTAATATAATCATACATCTATTATTTTCTACAATGAATTACACAGAAGTAAGGCATTGTAAATCATTATCTAACAAAAGAAACTTTTGTCTGTCATGTAAGAATATGAAACTATTGATTCCCTTTAATTTTAATTAAGATTTAACAAAGTTCTTGAAGAAAGAAATAAAAATAAATACTGTAATCTTTAGATATTATAATTTCATTTAAGAAAATCTGTTAAGCAAATTGAAAAAAGATTATAAAAAAAAAATTTCTTTCTGACAAATCTTTCTGATAATCTGTCAACATTTTAAATTTTATCATAAGAAATTCTTAACACAAGATTTTACTTTTGTATTCGATTTCTTATTTAATCATTTATTCGTCGAGATTTACATAATTTTTCTCTCCTTGTGGGCACTAATGGATCTTTTTTCATACCCATTGTAGGTTTGACAAGCCCCAAAATGGAAGAAACGAGCTCTACATATTCAAGAAATTCGCCCAAAAAAATTCCCTGTGTTCAGTGGCGCGTTACGGGCAATAAGGGCAATTGCCTGAAGCCCTCATCAGCAGGGGCCCCAAACTAATCATTTATAAGAAAATATTTCCACAAAAAACAACACTGTACATAGAGCCTTAATTCAAATTCGCCTGGGCTTCATGAAGCTATACCGGTGTTGCTCTTCCGGATTCGATCCTCCCGAATCCTCCAGAGTAGTAGGTTCATGCCTTATATGTCTCGACCGTGCATGATTGGAGCAATTTTATTACAACTTCTAGAGAAATTTCTAATAAATTCGTTCGAAATAAAATCAATTAAAAAAATTCACTTGTTATTTCAAATTAAAAGATTCCTTGTACGTTCAAAAAGTACTTTTATAAAAATTAAATATAAAAACTTTTCGTTTTCGATTTATTTTTCTATTACAGTTTCGAATTTCTAGTTGAGTTGCTGGATAAGAAAAACAATTTTATAACTTTAACTAAAGCCATTGCTATTGACAACCTATATTTAATAGCAATCAATTTAAAACACACTTTGTCCTTCACTTTTAACCTTAATTCCTCATCATAATCCTTCATTCATCTCTAACCTCTAACCCCTCACCATCTTCATTACTTCAATTATAATTAATCCAGTATGAATTAATTTCTCCTAAAATTCTAAACTATTTTGGGGATTTCTTAGAATATTTGCGATCGAATGAAAGATCAAATTACTATTAGGACCTCTCGGGCCATTCGCTTCGTTTAGGCCTCAGAATTTTAAACAACGAGACAACGTTATTATATTATATTATATTTTTAAATAATGTAATTTGACCAAAAATAAAGCTTAAACATGCAAGGGAATGAGTAATTTGTAAGACATTTTTAAGGCCCGTGCCAAGTGGTTTAACTGACCTTCCTATAATCGATGGCAAGATGCCGAGTGGTTAACTTAAGGTGGAAGCTTACCCCTCTTATATTATCCGGGATCAAATCCTTACTGGTCGAAAAACCCCAGTAACTTTTCAGGGAAACCCCCCGAAAAGTTACTTTCATTCTTCATTTAAAACGAATGATGCCACTGGTTTGCTTATTCAGCTGTATTAAAACCGGTTGGCCAGGCAATGCTCCCAATGTAAGAAATTACAGAAATCGTACGTAACCACTACGGATCTTATAGCGATTACGTACAATTAAGGTTTATAAACACAAGGTCAAGACACCAATGTTCCCTATAGAGCCACCATATTGAGTCCTTAGTTCCAAGGTCACGGTATAGATTTCATGTTATGTACTGTACGTGAAGTACACGTTCCTTGGAGTTCAAACCACGGAATTCCTTTTATAATTTCAAATAGAATATCTTTTCATTTAGAGATTACTCCGACATATAATTAAAGGCCTTAACTAAAGAGGTTTCAAAACAAAAAAGCTATGCCAATGGTTCGTATGATACATAAGTACTGTATTATTAAATAAGTATATTTATAAAAGGAAAATACCAACAAATAGAATTAAGCAATATAATTTATTCATTTTAAATATGTAATTTGTACTATATTCTCAATATAATGTTTAATGTATAAGTTGAAGGCCTATCACTTAAGAGTGTCAAAGATATATTTATTGCACACGTACTGTACTTACAGTGTAAAAGAAATTTCCTTTGTATAAATACTTGAGCTCCTATACTGAATCCATTCGTCATACTTTACTGATACCATTCATCTCCATAAAGTATAAATATTTCTTTCTTTTCGTCTAGACAAAAATTTCAATTGATTTCTTCACTTTCTTTTCAAACACTTTTGAAAAATCGTTTATTTATTTTTATTTTTTTGCTTTATATTCCATTCAGCTCTACACATCTATACAGGTAATAAATCTATTCATCTATTACCTGTCTGTGAGTGGAAATCTTTCCGAATTTATTAAAACTGAGATATTGTTAAAATATTTTTTAAAGACAGCATTTATTATTAATTTTATTATATTCTGCACTAAAAGCAGCAATTCTTTGGGTACATTTTATCATTTTTGATTCTTTCATCCATCGTGGGTTGAGGGCCGGATGGCCGATCGATTAACGTGTTAGCTTACTGCTCTGGGAGACCCGGGATCGAATCCAACGGGTCGAAAAACACCAGGAATTTTCTCAGGAAACTCGAGAGTGGTCCGGACTCCGTCTCTCACCATCCGGCCACTTCATTTTGGGCCTAGCCTAATACATAATGCCCTATTGCTGAAAAGGACCTCTTAGTGCCCACGGGGTAGAAAGAAAGAGACCGATCTTGGTTTCGTCCAGATCATATAAAAGGGTTACCGGATGGTAAAGACGGTGCCCGACATATTCAAGACGACCGCTTTTAGGGTTGCTCGCCAGGATTCGATCCCGGTTCCTCCAGAGTGATACATTGAGCCTTAGCCGCTTCGGCATTATAAGTGAATTTCAATGTATTTCGTTACAAGAAATGTCGTAAACTGTTCTATGACATTACATTTAACTAAAATTTCGAATTTTATTATTTTTTTATCGTGTAAAATTCGGGAATTTTCGATCAATTCGAATTTCACATTTAATTTGTTATCCTTTAACATATTAAATGTGTTAAAGGATAACAACACATTTAATATGTCGACCCCATAATCTTACGTCATTCAGGGGTCGATCTGGAAAATTTAAAAATATCGCCAACCATTCACCAGCTTCGGAATTTTAATTTAGTTTTTTATGTGTAACATAATTATTTTATCGCATTATTATTATTATTATTCCTCACATTTAAAGCTTATAAAACAGATATTAAAGTTGTGACGTCATTTCCTGTTTAGCGAAAACAACTCTGTATAGATTACTGAGGACTAATGAACATCATTATACTCCCGGCATATTTAATTAACCTTTCCAAAATGCATTTCGGCCTTTTCAATTGGATAACACATGAACAATGTCTATGGTGTCAATCGCCAACACTGCAATATACCTTAGTAGTACAATAATTATAAATTATTACATTATTATTAGGATACAGTATTATAAGTCTTTCCTCATGTTTGCTTCAAGGAAGCTACGGAATTCTCCGTATATCTTCTTTCCTATATACATCAATAAAGACCCTGTCTCCCATCATTAATTTTGAATTAATGAGCCACTAATTACGTAATCGAAAAGGTGTTTGTTTGTCATGTGATATCATACACGCGTCGAAGTGACGTCATTCGTTTCTAACGGCATCACCATTAATCTGCCATTTTGTCTTTGACAATCTCTTTTGTTTAGGTGAAAACATAATACAGCCTTATTAAATATTCGTTTTAAAATATTTAGTATTTATACAAAATTATGTTAAAAAATACGTCATATTTTAGTGTTAAGGATCAATCATTGTAAGGATAAATCTCAATAATCTGAACAAAAAAATGGAGTTTTCTTATGTAATCTTCAGTTAAATCCTTAAATAATTTAGGAGTCAGTCAAGAACCTGGCAATTTCAATAAAATAAAACTTTTACATTTTTTGGGGCACTAAAAGGTTAGTTTTTTTAGTCCCATCATAAATCCGGCCGGACCCACAATGCAGATTGTGCCAGATGTATTTGAATCAGACCATCTCAGAAAGATTACCGGATGGTCTAGCAGTCAAGGTGGCAACCTAACGCTGCGAGGACCCGGGATCGAAAAATCCCCAGGAATTTTTGAGGGGTGGTCCGTCCGGATATGTCGGGCCCCGTCCCTCACCACCCAGCCGAACCCATAATGGGCTGGCTGAAAGAGGCCCTCTTAGTGCCACAGGGCGGAGCTTAAAAAAAAGACCATCTCAGAAAATCTTTGGTTCCTGTTGTTTTGGGATCCGGGTTCTCTAGAGCGACAAGTGACGCATTGCTTCGGCCATCCGGCTGACATGGTAACCTATCTGTTAATCTCTCATCAATTCACACACAATTGAGATTAATCTTCAAATGAGCTGGCTATATTTACCGTTATAAGACTGGATATTTTGCCCATTTGAGGAATAGATTGGTTCGTTAAGTGATATTATTAGTGAATTAAGTACTATATACATCAATTGACTACAATTTCAGATCAGACTGCACATTCTTTGGTGGTTTGGCACTAGCGAATGAGGCACAAGAACTTAGTCACAAGTCATTACTCTCAGGATCTAGACCAGAATAGAATTCATTATATACGATTACAGGATAATGTACAGTACAATCGCGTTAACATTTTACTGACCAGAGTTCGAGATTCGAATTAAGAAGCAAGATTTATTACTACGTGACTATCGGCAAAATGAACTTCAAACGACAACACTATTGTAATACGGTTATTATTATTAATTAAATCAACCTTATAAACAACTTTTATTAATTAAAATATAGTCCTTTTTACATAGATAAATTCTGAATACTGTACATTTGTTCGAAAAATCGATTGTAATAATATAGTAACAGTGCAATAATAGTAACAAGGGATTACGTTATGCAAAAATACTTTTCATCGTTTCTTCTAAATCTAATGGTATTTTAATGTTATTCATGTCGGCGTGAGCTTTCAGCTTTCGAAAATTTTGTTGTACTTCGTCGATTTCTCTTTTAATTTTACTGTTTTCTTCCTGAAGTCTTCGAATATCATCTAGAATCTTCCCTTTGCTCATTTCCAATCCGTCTTTTTGTTCCATTCTCTTGTTTCGGCAACTGGCTGCGTAACCGCGATTTTTAAGAGTTCGACGACGTTGTTTCATTTTTGTGATCACATCCCTGTTATAACCGCCACTTTTCAGAAGTTTATTCAGATCTCTTACGGAAAGTGTTGTCAATTGTTCGTCTGTTATTCTTCTGCTTTCGTCCAGTGTGAAACCATCCAAAGAGCTGTCGTCTTTCTCCTGCTGAAAGAAAACAGAATTCAAATATTAATATCAGTTACAATTTTTGTAGACTCGAGACTCGAAAATATAATTTAATTTTTGTAAATAGTCTAAACTTCAATTATTAATATCAGTTTTAGATCGAAATTTATAATTTATCAAATTCTCTTCATAAATATGAAACATTCCATTAATTAAATCATGAATCGAAAATTGTTTAAGAAGCACGAAATAGCTTTTCATTTCCCCGTTGAAATCGTGTATGAGTATAGACTTATCCATAGCATTTAAGGCAATTAAGTTATTAACCTGCCATTCAGTGAGACCTGGGATCCAATCCGGATGAGCAAACCACCCAAGAATTTTTCACAGGTGGTTTTTATCCTAGATACATCAGACCTCATCTTTCACCATCTGGCTACCTCACTGCAGGCAGACCTGGTTGAATCAGCAATAAGTATGAAAAAGGATCTTTTAGTGCCCATAGGACAGAAAGAGCAAAGGAAAAAAAAACTCCAGTGTTGCTGACAGTGCCAGATCCAGGGGCATCACATAACAAATAATCATATTACTACTATACATTTCTCTGAACAGGTTCATATCATTATCTTGATCGATTATCAATTTTAAAAACTTAAATAATCTAACTTTATACATTTTTCTAAGTGTTTCTGGGTATATTAAACGATTGGTATACAGTATATTTTTGGAATATTGACAACAGAGCACATGCCGAGTGCCCCTGAATCTATGCCTAGTTGCTGACATCAGAAGCATCTTGAACATTTATAACAGTTGTGTCTAAACACAGGCCAAGCATTTAGGTGGCTGGGAGTCGCATTTATCCCGACTGTGGTATTATTCTCTCATATTATTCTTGCTATTTGATAAGTGAAGTATTTTCGTTAACATCCTCTTCTCACACATGATTTGTTGTAGTCCATTTTTGTGCATTCAACAGTAGCAATATAAAATGAATATGTTCCTAATTTCAATGCCTTGTAGTGTTTTAAACAAATGTTCCAAAACTTTTATAGTATCAAAATGCTTTAAACTGGTTTTTATATTGTGTTCAGTAATATTTTGTTTTTCAGAAAGATTTGTGAGTGACATATATAGATATATTATGACTAGAATATAATTATATTGTGAACAAAATAACTGCATAAAAATTATTTTTATGGTCCATGACTTAAGCTCAAAAATACACAATTTGGTCCCTGAAATGAGAAATGTTGGTTAGATTGGATTTTTTTGGCACAAGGGCCATTTTGGCCAATCTGCACCACAAAAAAGTTGGACCATCCTAGTTTACATTATTAACACAGTTGCTTAATGTAGAATATACAACTGTTCCTAAAATCTGACAGAAAATGATTTTGTAACTCTAACAAAAACAAGATTATTCCACAGAAGTATAATTTTTACATCCAAGGCCCACTCAGATAACAAGATACAAAATAATCCCAAAAGCATACAAAGAATGCTTTGTATACTTTACTGTCATTCTATAATTGGATCCAAGATAATGAAAATCAAACATTCTTAGTACTTTTAATCAGATAAACACTTACTTTTCTTTGCCATCCTCAATTTTATCTTCATATAATTACAACACTTGCATAACAATAAAAATTGTAAAATGTCGGTTTTATATTAAATATCATTAAACAGTAACACATATTAAATACCTAAACCAGTGACATTGTAATGACCATTCATACAGAGCTTCAATCATTTCAAGCTTTCTTCGTAAGCATCACTGAAATTGATCCTGATTCACTGTTTACATATATCATATTACATGCAACTCATACTTTCATATTATTACATTAAGCAATGAATTTCATAAAATTTAAATTTAACATAATATAATGAAATTGTTAAACAATATATTAGCATGTTAAATTTTAAATTACATTTTAAAACATATAGTTCAACATCACTATATTTATTTTTTAATTTCATTGCTTTTAAGTGCTTTTACGGAAAACTTTGCATAAAGTTTAAATATTAAATCTTCAAATTAAATTTTTTTCAAAAATACTATTAAAATATATTTCTTCATTCATACACCCATTAAGAATTTTTCTAAACCAAACTCCCCAATTTCTTTTAAGAAATTAAATGTTCAATATGGTCAAAAATCAACACCGATGTTTGATATGTCTCCTGCATTATTATTCAGTATGTCACTATAACACTATAAATATAACTCATACTAATCATTAATCTGAAATACAAAAAACAGCATTTGCTTTAAGGAAGCATAAAGCTTAAAAAAAAACAAAGTTCAGTACTTCTAGATTTGTATCTTCCTTCAGAAATGATTAATGAAATTAATGATTAGTATGAGTTATATTTAGTGTTTGTTTGCTTTATTAAGTTATGTTTGACAATGCAACACTTGGGCAATCTGCCTAGATGGGATGCCTTCCAGGAGGTCTTTTTAAGGGTAACTTGTCCCTATTTGGGCATTATGGACATAGAGAAAACCTGAAAAACTCCACGTGGCCAGCCCGCGTGAACCCACAACCGAACTTCCAGTGTTCAGGGAACGGAACCACTTGGCCACTGGTGGGCCAGTGTTTTAGTGACATACTGAATAATAATACAGGAGACATACCAAATGTTGGTGTTGATTTACAAGGTTTTAATTTTTTCCATATTCTAAATTCGTGATCTTTTATGTATTATTAGGTTGATATGATTTGATTTCTTGATTTTTTGGTTCTTTATTTTAATTATAAATGTAAGTAGTAAAAATATATAATATAAATTTCTGGCAAAAATTATCAAAATAAATGTATATTTACATCTTGATTAGTATAATATGCTTATGTTATGTTATATTTTTAAAAATGTTTGTGTATTTTAGGAGCCATTTTAGATTTCATATATTACTATATAATTGTATGTACAGTGTATCTTTTCTGCTGTATTACTATTCTTTTAATACAAGATTTAGTTGCAGCATATTTAATAAAGAAGCATTATTAAATGTAGTTTAAAGGCTGAAGTATTGCTAATTAAGTAGGACTTTAAAAATTAAGGGCAGTAAGGAAGAAGGAATTCAAGTTATTTTGATGGTGGGAACCCACAGTCAACAAGAAATTGCCGAAGAATCTAAAAGGATACATTCAGATTTTCCAATAATCGTGTACAGTTTAAATGAATTCTTTTAAACTCTTCAGTAACTTCTCACTGATTGCTGGTCCCCACCATTAAAATCACTTGAATTGATTCCTCCCTATTCAGTACCATGCTTCAACTGTAAGCTAATAGAAAGGTTGCGGCTGAAGTTTTCCTCTCAAAAAATGAACGTTGAATGTCAAGCACTGCCATCTTGCAAGCCTAGAAGTTTGACAAAGGCATTTAAAACATCCAGCACAGAGAGTAGAAGTTTGCTTAAATGTCTGCATTTTGGGTTAAAATTATGACATATTTTATTAAAATAATGATTATTAAAGCATTTATGGATAATATTGTAAATAAACAGACAACTTTAATCCAGAAATTATTTAATTATTGAATTTTTTTGCAAGTGATGTGAAATGCCTACAGAATTTTTTTTAAATAAGTGGTACCTCAGGATATGAACGCCCCAGCATACAAAATTTTCAGGATATGACATGAAATTCAAACATATTTTTGCTCCACGATACAAACAAAAACTCACCATACTACGTTACATTAGTTTGCAGCGGCATTTTTTATTCACTTCTGTTCATTGGTCTCAGTCCGCGTGTTTGCTTCGTCGTGGAAGGATCTTGCTCGATAAAGGAAATCTTGGGGTATTATCAGAAAGTGACTGATTTTATTGAAAAGAAACATCTGGAAAAGGTTTACACTGGCCGTATTGCCACTCGGAGTAATGACATTTGCCTAAGTCATTTTAGAAACATTTTAAAAAGTAGGCAAAGCCAAACCTCTTTGGATAGATATTTTACCAAACGACCTCTATCCAGTGAAAGTGCTGGAGGAAGTGAAGGAAAGAAAGCAAAAAGCAGTGAATAAACTTTAAAAAAAATATATATATATAAAACAACACTAATTTTTTTATATTTTCTAAGTTATTTTTAAGTTATTGTTACATTATGTTATGTAAGTTAAGTTTTAGTATCATTTCCCTTCTCCCTCTCTTCCGC